TGAGATGGTCAATGGACATAGTAGGACCCATGGTCCCCTCGGGACCAAAGTAATTCAGGTACCTGCTAGTTCTCACCGATTATTTCACTAAGTGGATAGAAGCTAAAGCTTATCAGCAAATAACCGAGCTCCAGGTACGCGGCTTCATCTAGAAAAAATATGATTTGCCGTCACGGACTTCCTTACGAAATCGTAACGGACAACGGTTCGCAGCTCATCTCGTAAAATTTCAAAGACTTCTGCGTGAAGTGGAAGATTAAAATCTCCTACTCTACGCCTCGTTATCCCCAAGGAAACGGGCAAGCTGAAGCGATAAACAAAACCATCCTGAGCAACCTCAAGAGACGGCTCGACGCTAAGAAAGAGAGGTGGTCCGAACACATCTCGGCCATCCTTTGGGCTTGTCGAACCACACCTCACAAAGCAACCAGCGAAACACCGTTCTCACTATCTTACGGGCTTGAAGCTGTGATCCCAACCGAAACTTCAGTTCCCAGCCTTCGTCGGACTCTATGCCCGACGAACACCGAACTAAACGAGCAGCTCTTAAGGGACCAGCTCGATCTGATCGACGAACGTCGAGATCAAGCACTGATTAGGATCCAAAATTACCAGCAGGCCGCAGCTTGCTACTACAACTCCAAGGTTAAACATCGGAGTTCAACGTAGGAGACTTGATCCTGCGCAAGGTACAAGACTACACCAAAGAGCCCGGTGCTGGGAAACCAGGGACCAACTGGGAAGATCCCTACCGCATCACCAAAGTAGTTTGCGGTGCCTGAGATAAGACCTTGGAACGTAATGAACCTCAAGAGGTATTATCGCTAAAGCACATAAAAAAAATCGAATTACGTCATGGCTTGATCCCTTATGGGGTACGTAGGCAGCTCGACCCACGAGTTCAGCCATCATCTTTTATCGAATTTTCGTTCGACAGCATGATAACACTACTAGGCGAGCTGTACGCTACGACCTTAGTTTGTATCATCTCTCTCTTTTTCATCTTTACTTGGAATATTAACTCTCTTTTCAGCAACAATTATAATTGTCCAAACCGAGATCACGAGCTAAAACAGTTCGGACCACCCTCGTCATACATTTATAAGCTGAAACACAATGCATCCATTATCAAACTCGAGCTCTGTAGCTCGATCTTGAAGTCAAGGTCACCCACCCTCCCACACCTCGGCTACAAGCGAGCTACAGCCCACGCTTAGCTCACTTCTTCCGGGGGGGGGGGGGGGGAGAGGGAGGGGGAGCCACCTATCCTAGATATCTTTCCAAAAAACACAAGGTACACATTTCTCATTTCGCAAACTAACTAGGTCATGAGCTCGACTCCACCTCAACAGGCGCGATCGAGGTTACAACTCAATTCCAAGCATAGTCAAGCTTCGGACCTCGAACTAAAGGCCCTTCGCGGTTCACAGTTCACCTGGTACGCCGAGCTCTATCTCTGGATGACAACAGTAAATCCCGATCCCCTTCTTCACTTCACAGGCGCAGCCAGATTTACAACTCGATTCCAAGCATAGCCAAGCTCCAGACCTTGAATCATCGAGCTCTAACGCGGCTCGTAATTCGCCAGGAACGACTGAGCTCTATGCCTGGAAACTAAAAGTAAAATCGAACCCCCTTCTCCATCTCAAAGCCGAAACTGAGAAACTCTTTGTTCAAAGGAAAGCAAACTCTACCTCGAACGCCGAAACTTCATTGCGAAGCAGTTCGACCTTCCTAAACAAAAGTCGAGCTAAAAACTTAGCTACTTTTTCAGAATAAACGGGTCATATTCCACGATCTAATCGTTCTGTCCGGTCTAATAAATCGAGCAACGAACTCGCAGCTAACGGCTCGAGCATCAAGCTCACGACTAGCAAACTGAGCTTCCAGCTCACGACTAGCAAGCTGAGCTTCCAGCTCACGACTAGCAAACTGAGCTTCGAGCTCGGTAACCCTAGTTTGTTTCCCTAAGTTACCAAACAGCTTAGAAAAACCTTACCTCAAATACGAAAACTTCATCGCAAAGCAGTTCGACCTTCCTTATTTCCTAAGGAAATCAACTAAGTCCAGAGTCTAGCTAAAACACTTAGCCGCATTTCAAAGAAGGAATGGATCGCACTCCGCTACTAGATCATTTCATCCGGCGAGCTTACGACCCAAAGAATCAGGTTGCAAGCTTAACAATCTCGGTCCAGCTCTCTGAAGTCAACAAATGACTAGGTAAAAGTTCAACTCGAACAACCAAAAGCAAAAGGTGGAAATAATATAAAGGCACCAACGCCCGAATTATTCCAAAATAAAGCCCTTTCAGGCTAAGATAAGTTCGAAATAAAGGATAACAGCCACCAGATCTTGTCGTTCGAGCTACGATCTTGGAGATCGACCTCGACCGTATGATCTGATGGATCCTTCGTCTCTAGTAGCCTCAACCGTTAATCCTTAATGATTACTTACCATCATGGCAACAACACGCGAGATATGAAATCTTCTAGAAAGAAACCACTCGCGCCCATTAAAGCTCGAACTCGTTCTCGTTAATGGGCTGGGCGGCAATTGTTGGAGCAGGATTTGTCACCCCAAATCCGGCCCACTTAAGCCCAACAACAATATCCTAAAACTAAGTTCAGTTGACTGGGCCTCATCCATACGGCCTAGGTCCAATCACTCACAATGGTCCAAACCTGACAATCAGTGTTCCGTTCGTCGAGGTCGAGCTCCAGCTCGACCTCGTCCCGAAGAATAAGGAAGAATCTAGACCAAGTCTGAGCATATTCTCACCAGTTCAAGCGAGTCTGAGATTTTCGGGAGAAGCTGCTGCACGTGGCCGAGATATCCGGCTGAAGCTGCTGCACGTAGCCGAGATTTCCGGCTGAAGCTGCTGCACATGGCCGAGATACGCGCTGGAAGTTGAAGCTCGACGAAACAAGCCATATAAAGGACACAAACTGCCAAGTTTTGGAAGATCTCGGACTTTGCCAGGGACCTTCAGCTTGATCTTTTTACACACTTTTACACCCGAAAACAGTATAACTGCTCCTAGAGCTCTTTTCAGTTCATCTTTTTCATTGAGATCTTTGTAACCGTTTCATTCGACCGATTAATACAAAGTCCTTATTTTAGTTAGTGCTAGCTTATACAGTCAATCTGTTCGAGGGAATCTAGCCCTTAATCCTCTAAAGTTCTTTCCTTACAAATACACATAAATTTATGAGTGTGGATTTCGGTAACCACAATATGATTGTAAAAAAAATAAAAAATAAAAAACAACTTAAAAAAAAAACTGAAAAAACTGTTGAAATTATAAAATTTAAAAAATTTTGATTGACCAATCTAATGGGCCTAAAATTTAAAGCCCAAATCAACCTCACATCTCTTCGGTATGGGCCTGTCCACGAATGTCGGCTGATTTTTAACATTTACCATATATTTATATAGTTCATTATTAAGCGTCTTCTATTAGAAATTCATCTATTAGACAATTAAAGTCGGTTTCGTAGAGGTTAGGGTTCTATTCTTTTCAATCCCTTGCAGGAGTTAACTTTGGGATTCTCCTTCCTACATCGTCAAATTTACTTGTGAAAGCTTATCGAGTTTTCGTGATTATCTTTCTCAGGTTTCGAGATCTTGTTGGTTGCTTAAACATCTGTTAACTATGGCGGCAGAGCCGAAGGCGACGACTGAGGAAGTAAAGATGGATCTGTTCGAGGACGATGATGAGTTCGAGGAATTTGGAATCAACGAAGGTGAGAATTATTCGCTTTTACTAGTTGCTTGTTTATTGATTCATCAGAAGTTTATATGATTTCTTAGATTTCTGAAATAAAAAGAGATAATTAGATTCTGATCTAAAGAGATTCGGGTTTGCAAGTTAAGAAGAGTCTTTTCAGATTTCTGAAATAAAAAGAGATAATTCTCTTTTGTATGAGTTGGGTAGTTGTGATGTGGAGTAGATCTTCAGATTTCTTAGGTTTTGGATCTCGTGCCTTTGAGAAATAAAAGAGAAAATCTGATTCTTATCTGAACATATTCATCTTTTCAAGTTACAAAAAAAGTTTTGCGATTAAGCTTATGAGTTGGGTAGTTCTGAGATGTGGAGTAGATCTATTTGGTTTCTTGATTTCTTTTTGGAGTGAGTTGTGTAGTTCTAATGTGGAATGGATCTTGAGGTTTCTTTTGTTTTGGTTATGCACCCCATCTCGTTCCTATGAGATATATAAGAGAGAATCTGATTCTTATCTTAACAGATTCACCTTTACAAGTTAAGAAGAGTCTTTGGATTAATAACTTATAGCTGTTTGGAAGAGTTGATAAACATAGTCTCTTGTTGTATGAGTTTCTTCATATTTGTTTGGTTTGTGAGGATCTCTTTATTTATGTTTGGCAGATTGGGTGGAGAAAGAGGAAGTGAAGGAAGTTGGTCAGCAATGGGAAGATGACTGGGATGATGATGATGTCAATGACGACTTCTCGCGTCAGTTAAGGAAGGAGCTTGAGAGTAGTGGTGATAAGAAATGAGTTCATAAAGAGAATGTTACAAGTCATCATGGCTCTCACTTTTAAGAAATCTTGGATTTTTGGTATGATCCGGAACTTTGAACTGCGTCCTTTGGTTTATTTGTGTTCCTTTGCACATCTTATTCTTAATGCAAGTTCCCAATATTTGAATATATTAAGGATTTTCGAATTAGTATGAACCAAATTTTAGTTGTAACCTGATAGATAGTAGAATAGAAAGATTAAGGCCATTTTAGCCAACACCAAAAAAAAGAATGATTTAAGGCCAAAGATTAATGATGAGGAAAAATAAAAAGCCATAAACTTGGAGCTCATTTCTCTTCTACTTCAACAACAAACCAAAAAAAAGATCTTGCTTAGGGTTGTTACTCGTATTGTCTTCCCTTCTTCTACGTCTTCAAAACCAAAAAAAAACAAACTGGCCCAAACTCATACACTAAGAAAGAGTGAGCAAAATTGGTGACGGCGAAAAAAGGATAAAGAAATCACCAAAGGTAAGCACTAACAGCTTCACCAGCACCGTTTTGTGATATCTCTTCAATAACTTCGCTAGCAACTTCTGGTGATGAAGTTGTCATAGTAGTAGCAGTCTCTTTGGCTTCCTCAGGCTCATCTTTTGGTGTAACCTTTTTGTCATTAGCAGCCAAAGCTTGCTGAAAAGATAAATAACAATCTCTCATCTGTTAGAATTCAGATTATCATTTAGAGAGAGAGAGGCACTCACACAAAGGGATTTTCTAGCTTTACCTGTTTCTTATATTGCTGGTGCTTCTTTTTTCCCTCTTGGATTATCTTTTCACGGCTCTCATAGAACACAAAGTCATCGAGTATGCATGTCTTGCTCACATGTTCCTTGAAAATCTTGATGACTTTGATGCCTTGCTCTAGGTTGACCTGCAGATTAATAATAATCCAAAAACCAATTTTAATATTTTCTCAAGTTCACTAGAGAAGTAAAGAAGGTGACAGATAAATAAACCAAACAGACCTCTTGTGTGTCTCGGCTGTTTGTAACTGGCTTGTTCTCATTGTTCTCCAAAGTTATGTGCCTCAAGGAACTATTTGGGATATCTTTCACGATGTGCCACTTAACAGGGAAACAACCAATCCACTTGTCTTGCTGCCAATATTCCACAGTCTGGTTGAAATCAACTGGTCCTACCATCTCAGCTAAACCAACAAATTGTCCACTAGTATTTACCTGTACACGTTTAAATCCGCATTTAAAACTCTTAAATCAGAATGAAACAAAGCAATCCAAACCCAAAGTCTCTGCCATTTACTTACAGAGAAGAGTAGAAAAACAGGGCAAGACACATCTGACTTCTCTATAGCCTCGTTATAAGCAGCATTCAGCTTCTTGTTTCCATTGGGGGTGCTTGACCACACATTGTATTTGATGCTTTTGTGAACATCGTCTTCACTGTAAGATTTGATCACAAAGAGTTTCGCATGGGAGTAGGTTTCGGGAAACTCTTCCTTGTTGTAGTCCTTTGAATCCGGAACCTTCTCAGTTTCCAGCACCTTCTGCTCTTTGAGTGTTTCTGGCTGAGAAACTTCTTGGCCAATCTTGAAACCCTTTGCTCTTGGCCCTCTATTCAACTCGTTCAACCCCTCAACATTCTCTTTGCCATACCCATTAAAACCGTAGTTCCTTGTCTTGTATCCGTTGTTGAACGCATACCAGTTCTGAGTTTGCTTATAAGTTCCATAACCATAAGAATCATATCCATAGGCTCCTAGGCCACTCATGTAAGGTCCATAGATTGAGTATATGCTGTCAATGTACTGACCCATAGCGCCTGATCGTCCCTGATGTGTGCTCTGCGATTAAACGAAATCCCAAATAATGAAACCAACAAACCCTCAATACAAAAATCTGTAAGAAGCAAGCTGATTAGTGAAATCTAGAACTCACCATGTACGGATAGTGAAGACTGTTGGTCTTTCCAGACGCATAGCTCATCTCGTAACCGTATCTCGGGTACTGATACGCTTGAGGATAATAGCCAGTAGGGTAAGTACCTCTTCCATATGAACCCTTTTGATTATAAGCAGTAGAGTTCTGGTAACCAAGTTTCTTCTGGTTCAACCCTTTATTGACAGTTACAGCTCTACCATTAGCTACAAGATTAGGTTTGACACTCTTGGTTGCTTCTCCTGACAAAGAAACTTGTACAGAGAACCCATTACTGTTTCCGCCATACACATCCTGCAAAAAGACAGCTATTTCTTAAACAAGTACCATGAATAATCCAAGAAAGATACTTTTTTATAAACAAGTATCACTCAGAAACCAAGAGCGTTGGATCCAGATAAGACAAAGAAATGTTTATACCTTATTCCCAGCATCAGGGACTTGAGCCATGGTCTCTGGATCAATGGACAAATTGTGCAGCAAATCTGCAGCTTCTGTATTACAAATAGTGAAGGAATAATAATTTTTGAAGTTTTCATAAATGAGCTGAGCAACGGTGGTTTCAACAATCAAAACATCAGATTTATAAAAAGCTCAAAAAGAGATTTCAGCAATACACCAAGCAAGATTTCATGTGTTTTGAGAGAAAGCACAGAACGAAGAGATTTTTCATTTTCATAATCAGCAAAACAATTAGAAGAATGAGCAAAACAAACGTGAGATCTAATCAGAATCAACGAGAAAGCAGATGTGTTTTTCTAATATTTGAACAAAAAGATGGTCAATTTCTTGAAGGTAAACCCTAGCAAAACCCTTCAGCTACAGCTCAAAATGAATATTCTACACAAATTGAAACGAAATTACTACAGCGAGAAGCTACGAATCGGCATAAAAGTAAAACGGGACGTAAGTGAAGAAAACGAAGGATACGATCCGAAGGAGAAATGGTAGTAGCCATGGCCTGTCTGCTATATCAGCGGCGGAAGCTTTCTAGGGAGAGACAAAAAGAAAGGTAAGAAGAGGAAACAACGAAACCCTAGGAAATTTGCGAGTCGTTATTTATCTTTTCGCTTTCTTTTTATTTTTTAGTGAGCGCTTAGTTTTCCAAACTTAAACCAACAATTAAACCACAACGGCGGAATAAAAATCCGGTTCAATCACGAATGTGATAACTAAAGGAGAAGAGACAAGTGAGGCAAAATATTTGATGTTATCTAACCAAAACTAGGTGATTGCCCCGCGGTTGTGCGGGGATATTTTATTTTAATAAAAATTGACAATGTTAATATATTTGGATGTGGACAAGTACAGTTTTTATTTGGACATTCAAAACGACTATGCAAGAAAATAGTCTTATCAATAAATTATTTACAGTATAAAACAAAAAAATGTTAAAATTTAGACTTATTGTCACATATATTATTAGCACTAAACTCTTTAAAGTCTTAACAATTTTTTTGACAAAACATAGGCAATTTCTAAAAAGTATTTAAAGAACCATATAGTGCTATGATCAAAAGCTGCATTGAACCAAAATGATTGTTAAACCAAAGACATATTTAATGAAAAATAGTGTAATCACACATTTTTTTATTCAATAAAGATAATCAGAATCACTGAATATTAAATTTATTTTGTTGATTGAACTCTATATAAACAGAAAGGGACAAAATCAATATTTTCGAGAAACAATCAGAAACTATATGAGAGTTTTAAGATTTCTTATTATTTTTTTCCCTTAACTGTATAAACAGAGAATCTCTTATCATGTAAACTTTAAGAGCATCAGTATTGAAGAGCCCATGTAGGAAAAAAAAATGATGTGTCAAGCTCATATACTGAGAACCATCCTTTCCTAAGAGCAACCCCAAAGGAAAACTTTGGGTATCTATAATAAAAGGTCTTAGTAATAAAAATGAATAAAAAATAGTGAAAATATCTAAAATAAGACATCCAATGTCTAAAATAAGATATTTTTTTTAAGTTAAGACACACAGTGTCTAAAATAAAATAATAAAATATTTTTAAGAATATTTTAATGAGTTCTCCATTAGGGTTGGTCTAAGAGCCCAAAAAATAGATTCTAACTTTTTTTAATATAAAATGTACTTAAGAGCCATGAAGCTCTCCAAAACTCATGCTCTAAGAAACTTTTAAAAAACCATCTATCACATAGCAATGAAAATGGCTAACCTGTGGATTAATCACTTTGTTTGCTAGAGTATAATATACTTACTCCAAAAGCTAAGCAATTGTAATTAAATTGTTTCCCTCAATGTAATCACCAAGACACAACAAACTGATTCCATGACGAATACTGACCAAACTGGGGAAATGGGTTCAGTGTTGGAATATTGTTCTGCAGCTTCTCAGGCCACCAATACCATCACCACCAAATCCTTGTGTCCCAATTAAAGCCCCCACTCGGATTATTGTTATTCAGAGCTAACACTGATTTTTTCGCAGATCTGGAGCCTCTTTCCAGTGCTTTTTGCTTGTGCTTAGACACGAACAGATTAATATCACATTCGGATATTAGATCTCCTTTTCATCTGTGTTATTCATACGCATGACGATAGTCGACTTCATGCTGATCCTCTCTGATGAGCCACACACGGAATCAAATCTGTTCTTCTTCACCGGACAAATATCGTTGAGTTCCTTCTAAAATCTGTCCCTGATAACCTTTTGATAACCGTTGAAGAGTAGTTTCTTATATCTTGTGTAGGTATCTGAACTCTTTTAACAATGTCTAGAGCTACATATCTTTTCCGTCTTATGCAGACTCATCATCACAGCCTCCTTTTCCTGTGTTATGCAAGTTATCAATTCCATTACTTTGGAATATGTGTGAGCTTGCTGTTTCTGAAACACAGGAAAAGAGAAATAAGTCAAAAGTTTTTTCACCGTCGATTTCTCATGATCAAACCCGTTCATCTCTTTAATAGCACCCATTATAGGTTTTTTATAGTCTCTTTAATAACTCTTTTCTATTCATATCTTCAATAGCATCTATCATAGAACTCTTTTCTGTTGATCTCTTCAGTAGCGTTCATCATCCAGCAAACAGTATATATAAGACAAAAGATTAGGGATCCCATTAACAAAATTAGGTCTAATCGTAAAGGTTGTTGTTTATTTTAGGGTTTAGCCGTAAGTCACTTTTTATTTGTCTACCCGTAAACCAAAAAATTGATATAATAATTAATAATTAAATATTTAATAAAAGTGAATGAGAAATAGTATAATATAGATAGCCGTAAACCAAAAATCACTTCGTAAATAATAATATAGATAGAATAATATAAATAAGTAAATAATTAATATTAGATAAGTAAATAAATAATATTAGATAAGTAAATAATTAATAGATTTCATTAAGGATAATTAAAGTAAATTCACATAAGGGGTAAAGGGTAATCAACCATGATAACTCTCAACCACAACCCAATTTGCTTGCCAATTAATAATATGATTATTTTTTATAAATATTGTAAAAACCCAAATTCGAGATATGAAAGAACTAGGGTTTGGAAGGTTTTAAAGAGATCTTTTATTAGAAGAAGCCGGAGCTTGATTGAATACAACGGTGTTTAGGTCGTCGGAATAAGAACGCCGACCTAAAACTCTTAAGAAAAGTTAACCAAAAAGCTAGAACAATCTGATTGCTTAGTTTTCTCTAGGTCTTGATTAATGATTTTCGGATCCCTTGAGAAGTCTAGGACTTCCTATATTTATACCCGATCAGGTCGGTCTTCATCCTGTTCGGAATAGGAAACTCTCGTCGGCAAGGAGTTTCCTTTTTTTCCGGGTCGCTTGATAAATGGAAGTTTTCCTTTTATGTTGCCGACCTGGGAATTGTTAGATGGGCCGACTAGAATTCATATCGGGCTTGTTAGAGACGGTACGAATCTCATCTCTAACAGTAAGTCCCCCCCCCAGTTCGACAAGTGAGGGTGCATTGCTTGTCGAATTTAAAGAAATGCTGTTCGATATAAATTCTGGTCGGCTGCAAAATATTACCTGGATTTCTGATCGGCACGGTGATGAGGGCCAGATTGTGATTTTGGGTGCGAAAAGTTCCCGCCCAAAAACGATGTAGGTTAGGCCTAGGCCCACGCATGCGGAACTAGGGTTGACACGTGTCAAACCCTAGCAGGAGAAATCGAAGAGGCCGATTAAACTTTAATGAGAAGAAATGCGGGGAGTCGCCGTGCTCATGATGATTCTTGATAACCGTCCAGATATTTCTATAAATAAGAGGTTCGGCTTCAATTTCCTCACTTCTGCATTTCTAGCGAAACTCTGTCAAAATCAGGTTTGCTCTCTCCCCTCTTATTTAGTTTTTTTTTAGATCTGCCAACTAGACCTCTGCCGTGTTTCGTTCTGAACGCCGATCAAGCATGGGTAAAAGTATTCAGATCAGGGAGAGGCGACCAGGGTCAGAGGAAACCAGATCGGCACCAAAGAGAGCTGACGATCAGGTCGACAAAAGACGATCGAAGGGAAAAAGGGTCATCGTTAAGGAATCAGAGTCGGATAGGTCTTCGGATGCGAGCGAGTTGTCGGCGTTGGATCGTGCTTTCCAGGAACGCGTTCGAGAGATGAACCAGCAAGCTGCGGCTGATCGGTTCCATGCCGATCAAGTTGGAATCGCCCAAAGGTCTGGGGAGACATCTTCCAGGGTCGAATTCGAGATTCCAGAATTGCATGATGAAGACGATGTGAGAGGTGGGTCGAACGAGATGGATATCTCGGACGAGCTGAACGCCATTATTGTCGAAGACGAAGTAAACCAGTTTGGAATCATCGATATGAATCCGCCAGTGGAGAGGATCAAGAGGCGAAAAGGGGAGCCGGCAGTTAGGCCGATCTGCGACAATGCTCTCGGGGTGATGCCGACCAAATCAACAATGGAATCACTGGTCACCTTGAAGGAAGAATGCGACATCGGTCCTGAGGTGATCTTCATGGTTCTGAGCCCGTCGGAGCGACTGTGGGGTGCTCCTACAGGATGGCTATGTCTACACGAGTGTTTTTTCACGGACTTCCATCTGTGGTTCCCGCTCCCGAGGCTTCTTCTGGAATTTGCTGCCCACAAAGAAATGCCGATCAGCCAGTTTACCCATGCGACGATACGGCTGATTGTCAGCATGCTAGTGATGTCGACCAGGCACGATATCCCACTGAGTCGAGCAGCGTTTGATGCCATGACGAACACCCGTCGCACGAAGGCCAATTTGAGGAACCGGGGTTCGTATTATACGAGTATGAAGACTCGATACAACATTGTGACTGGTGGTCATAAGACCAAGGTGGCGGACTGGAGAGATCGCTATTTCTTCGTGCTAATCAACGAATTTTCCATCGCCAAAACAGATAGAGATATCCCGATCATAACGAAATGGGCGGAGGTCATGGGTAGAGACATGACCGATATGCAATATAGTTTAACGCTATATATATTTTTTTTTCTAATCGAGTCTTTTATATTACAGGAAACAGGCCTCTTCCATTTGTTGACGATCCTCTCGATATCGACGATA